GCGACTGGCGCCGCCACGCGAGCACTGATGATACCCCTTTGATAGCACGAAATTTTAACATTAGATTTATTTATAATTAGAAGAAAACTTTTGGGAAACCCCCATAACTTAGGTCTAGACTTTTAGCTATTAGTAAAAAAGGTTATTGTTAAAATGTATTTTTACTCTCTGAAAATTTATCACAATAGACTAGGAATAATAAGATAGAAAAGAGGATTAAGCCATAAATATATAAATTTACTACCTAATTGCTCTCGACATATCTAAGTAATTATAGAAATATTAGAAAATATATTTTAATCTCTTAAGGAATATAAAATATTGTATAAAAAATAAGAGAAGATAGTCTGAGCTGATTGCTGGCGAAGCCAGGTAGATCAAAGACGGTCGGAAAGGCCCTCGCGGTTTTAAGAAAATATTTGCCATATATTTGCCGTTATAATTCGGTAATAATGCGGTTAAACTATAGTTGTTTTGACCAGTTTTTATAGGCTGTAAATATCCAGTATATATACTGCGTTTATGCTGTACAGTTACCGAAAATATACTATACAATTACCGCATTAATGCCCAAATTTTAGCCAAAAAATTCCAAATAATTACCGTAATAATACAGTAATTTTGCTGAATATTTTCTGACATAATGGAAAATTATTAAAAATTTGGTTTTATTTTTAGTTCACTTCTATGTTAGAAATGAATAAAATGAAAAATTTCCAATTTTGCTTTTTATTCTCCATCGCTACTTTGCAAAAACAAATACTGTTTTTTAATAAATACTATGTAGAATATTATTTTTTAATTAGGTATTTAGCGGTAATGAATATTAAAGAATACATTTGTTAAGTAAATATATTCTAATTTCAATTTCAATTTTTAATTTCTCACTTAGAAAATTGCAAATTTTCTAAAATCGAAAAGTTACTTTGTTTCACATATATAACTATATTATTTAATTTTAAATATGCTTATCGTAAGATGGACGGTATGGCTTAATGTATATAGAATAAGCAAAAAAAAATATAGTGCAGGCCGGGTAGCTCAAATGGTAGAGTAGCCGACTTGTCCTCGGGAGGTTCTGAGTTCGAATCCCACTCTGAGCTTTATTTGATTTTCCACCATTTTTTAAATATGGTTTTAATACAGTCATTTTACCGCCTTATTAACATAAATATGCCGCATTTTTAGCATAAATATTTCGCATTTTTACGGTAAATGTTCCGTAATATTTCGATGAAAAAACTGACCAAAACAACCGAAAAAATGCTGAAAAAAAACGGCATTAATACTATATAACTGCGACATTTTTTCGGCATTTACAAAATCGCTAGGGTTTATACAACTTTATATAATTTTATACAAATTCATAAAAAATTATGCAACTTTCTACAATTTTACTGAGTTGTATATAGTTTTATACAACTTCATTTAATTTTATATAACATTATATAATTTTATACAACTTCCTATAATTATCTACAATTTTATACAACTTGTTATAATTTTAAACAACTTCATGCGATTTCATATAACTTCCCTGATTAAAAAAAAGTATTGAAAAGTATTGAAAAAGTATGTAATTCAATACTTTTTCAATACTTTTCACACACTGTATATCTATATATACATACAATATAGATATACAGTTGCATGGTTCAATACTTTTTTTAAATCAGGGTTAGTATAATTTTATACAACTTTATGTAATTTTAAAAAATTTCATATAAATCCATCCAGCTCTATATATATTTAGACGAGTTCATATAATTTTCTACAACTTCCTGTAATTATCTACAACTTTACATAACTTCAAATAATTTTATACAACTTCATGTAACTTTATATAACTTGGTATAAATTCATACAACTTTACTCAATTCTCCCTCAATTCATATAATTTTATACAACTTTATATATTTTTCTACAACTTTATATAATTTTATACAACTTCACAAAACTCCCTATAATTCTATATACTAATAAATAAATTATACTTTTTTTTTCAGACCAAATGACTCAAGTCCGCCAGGTAAAATCTCCATCTCTCTTAAACAAAAATTCATCACAACTTCTCTCAATTTCTCAACACTTCACCCACTAACATACAAAACTTCATCTAAACAAACATTCATCTACACATACCTCAATAATATATACACAAACATAAATCTAAATAATATTATTTCTACCGAACTGGCAACAACAGGATTTGGTCCTGCCCCTCCTCCGCCACCACCCCCACCAACTGGTCAGATGCCAACGATGAGGATTAATACAGAGGTAGGTCGACAACTACCATCACATATATATATATATATATATATATATATATATATATATATATATA